GGACCAGATGGATTCACAGCTGAATTCTACCAGAGGTACAAGGAGGAGCTGGTACCATTCCTTCTGAAACTATTCCAATCAATAGAAAAAGAGGGAATCCTCCCTAACTCATTTGATGAGGCCAACATCATCCTGATACCAAAGCCTGGCAGAGACACAACAAAAAAAGAGAATTTTAGACCAATATCCCTGATGAACATCGATGCAAAAATCCTCAATAAAATACTGGCAAACCGGATTCAGCAGCACATCAAAAAGCTTATCCACCATGATCAAGTGGGCTTCATCCCTGGGATGCAAGGCTGGTTCAACATTCGCAAATCAATAAACATAATCCAGCATATAAACAGAACCAAAGACAAGAACCACATCATTATCTCAATAGATGCAGAAAAGGCTTTTGACAAAATTCAACAGCCCTTCATGCTAAAAACCCTCAATAAATTCGGTATTGATGGAACGTACCTCAAAATCATAAGAGCTATTTATGACAAACCCACAGCCAATATCATACTGAATGGGCAAAAACTGGAAAAATTCCCTTTGAAAACTGGCACAAGACAGGGATGCCCTCTCTCACCACTCCTATTCAATGTAGTGTTGGAAGTTCTGGCTAGGGCAATCAGGCAAGAGAAAGAAATCAAGGGGATTCAGTTAGGAAAAGAAGAAGTCAAATTGTCCCTGTTTGCAGATGACATGATTGTATATTTAGAAAACCCCATTGTCTCAGCCCAAAATCTCCTTAAGCTGATCAGCAACTTCAGCAAAGTCTCAGGATACAAAATTAATGTGCAAAAATCACAAGCATTCTTATACACCAGTAACAGTCAAACAGAGAGCCAAATCAGGAATGAACTTCCATTCACAATTGCTTCAAAGAGAATGAAATACCTAGGAATCCAACTTACAAGGGATGTAAAGGACCTCTTCAAGGAGAACTACAAACCACTGCTCAGTGAAATAAAAGAGGACACAAACAAATGGAAGAACATACCATGCTCATGGATAGGAAGAATCAATATCGTGAAAATGGCCATACTGCCCAAGGTAATTTATAGATTCAATGCCATCCCCATCAAGCTACCAATGAGCTTCTTCACAGAATTGGAAAAAACTGCTTTAAAGTTCATATGGAACCAAAAAAGAGCCCGCATCTCCAAGACAATCCTAAGTCAAAAGAACAAAGCTGGAGGCATCACGCTACCTGACTTCAAACTATACTACAAGGCTACAGTAACCAAAACAGCATGGTACTGGTACCAAAACAGAGATATAGACCAATGGAACAGAACCGAGTCCTCAGAAATAATACCACACATCTACAGCCATCTGATCTTTGACAAACCTGAGAGAAACAAGAAATGGGGAAAGGATTCCCTATTTAATAAATGGTGCTGGGAAAATTGGCTAGCCATAAGTAGAAAGCTGAAACTGGATCCTTTCCTTACTCCTTATACGAAAATTAATTCAAGATGGATTAGAGACTTAAATGTTAGACCTAATACCATAAAAATCCTAGAGGAAAACCTAGGTAGTACTATTCAGGACATAGGCATGGGCAAAGACTTCATGTCTAAAACACCAAAAGCAACGCAGCAAAAGCCAAAATTGACAAATGGGATCTCATTAAACTAAAGAGCTTCTGCACAGCAAAAGAAACTACCATCAGAGTGAACAGGCAACCTACAGAATGGGAGAAAATTTTTGCAATCTACTCATCTGACAAAGGGCTAATATCCAGAACCTACAAAGAACTCAAACAAATTTACAAGAAAAAAACAAACAACCCCATCCAAAAGTGGGCAAAGGATATGAACAGACATTTCTCAAAAGAAGACATTCATACAGCCAACAGACACATGAAAAAATGCTCATCATCACTGGCCATCAGAGAAATGCAAATCAAAACCACAATGAGATACCATCTCACACCAGTTAGAATGGCGATCATTAAAAAGTCAGGAAACAACAGGTGCTGGAGAGGATGTGGAGAAATAGGAACACTTTTACACTGTTGGTGGGATTGTAAACTAGTTCAACCATTATGGAAAACAGTATGGCGATTCCTCAAGGATCTAGAACTAGATGTACCATATGACCCAGCCATCCCATTACTGGGTATATACCCAAAGGATTATAAATTATGCTGCTATAAAGACACATGCACACGTATGTTTATTGCAGCACTATTCACAATAGCAAAGACTTGGAATCAACCCAAATGTCCATCAGTGACAGATTGGATTAAGAAAATGTGGCACATATACACCATGGAATACTATGCAGCCATAAAAAAGGATGAGTTTGTGTCCTTTGTAGGGACATGGATGCAGCTGGAAACCATCATTCTCAGCAAACTATCACAAGAACAGAAAACCAAACACCGCATGTTCTCACTCATAGGCAGGAACTGAACAATGAGATCACTTGGACTCGGGAAGGGGAACATCACACACCGGGGCCTATCATGGGGAGTGGGGAGGGGGGAGGGATTGCATTGGGAGTTATACCTGATGTAAATGACGAGTTGATGGGTGCAGCACACCAACATGGCACAAGTATACATATGTAGCAAACCTGCACGTTGTGCACATGTACCCTACAACTTAAAGTTTAATAATAATAAATAAATTAAAAAAAAAAAAACTAAGCTTATGTACATAATAGTTTCCTAGGACCACCATAGTAAAGTACCACAAACTGATTGACTTAAAAACAACAGAAATGTATTGTCTCACAGTTTTAGAGGCTAGAAGTCTGAAAACAATGTGTTGGCAGAGCCATGCTCCCACTGAGGGTTCTTGGGGGAGGATCCTTCCTTGCCTCTTACAGCTTCTCAGCTTCTGGTAGACATTCCTTGGATTCTGGTAACATAACTCCAATTTTTGTCTCCATTTTCACATGGCTGTCTTCTCCCTGTGTCTCTCTGTGTCTTCACCTGGTATTCCCCACCCCACGCTCTGTCTGTGTTTGTGTGTCTGTGTGCACACAAACATGCCTAAATAGTCCTCTTCTTATGAGGGCACCAGTTATATTGGATTAAAAGCCCACTCCGCTCTAGTATAACCTCATCTTAACTAATTACATCTGCAAAATATCCTATTTCCAAATATAGTCACACTCTGAGTACTTCAAAGTATCTTTTTTAACAATGCCTAATTATGAAAGACAACTATTGTGGGAGTGAAAAATCTGATATTTAAGTGAATGGATGAGAATTTTTCACTAGGGAAACCATATTTACTCTAAAAATATCTCTATTACATATTTGTTTCATGCTAGTACCATATTGTGTAGACATTTCTAGCCAAAACATTTGTTTGATTCCTAATCAGCCAAAGGGGTCTGTTGCAGTGGTGTACCCAATTGTCATGTTTAAAGAAATTAATAGATACTGGAGTGTTCTAAAAACATTTTGTCATTCAATCAGTGCACGTACTGAGATGGCAGAGTTATCCCACCATTCCTGGACTGATGTAAGAGAGAGAAGTTAACTTTGTCTCAAAAAAGGCCTGACATTTTAGGGTCTGTGTTCCAGTCTTTAACATATACATTACCAAATGCATGCTCCCTTCTACATATGAGAGGAGCTAACCACACTGAATTGTCCTAACAGGGACGAGGTAGTAGGGACAAAGACTGAGAATGGCTCCACACACCTTTAACATCATGAACGAGGGCCAGTTGAGATATTTTTTAGTTTAATGATGTTTTTATTCTCTTGCCTTTTTTAGAGCTTTATTGAAAATTATCCTTTTAATGACAACTGTTATCCCAGTAGAGAGATAAGATTATTAGCTTTCACCATGAAGATGTTTCTAAACTCATTAAACAGCGTATCAAAGAAGGTTTAAATAGTGGTTTATTTTTTAAAATCACTCTAAAACACTTCAACCTGTTTTCATTTCAATAAAATGGTTATGTTGTGCGGTATCTTTAAACTACAGCAGAAGTTCTTTACTTTGTATTCAGAAATAGCTTCAAGAAGTCCAAAAACTCCTTTAAAATTACATGTAACTTTTGGCATATTTGTGTGTGGACATTTTTCTGGAAAAAGGATCCTGAGTCTTGATAGGATTCTCAAAAGAACTTGTGACCAAGTCCCCACATCCCTAACAACAAAGTTGATAACAACAATAAAAACAGTTAAGAGCAGTTGAACAAAAGGAAATAATTACCTGGATATGTAAGACATCATAGATTAAATTGAATATATGCAAATGGATCTAACTCACAAGGAAAATATAGTTTCTAATATGTAAAATGACATTCAGGACAATATTTGCATTTTGTGATATATTTTTTTGAGAACTGTATTAGTGCTTCACCAAAAAACATTTGCTTCAAATATATAATTTTTAAAGAGACATACTTTGACATTATATTTCTTAATTTTATTTATTTTACTGAATGAAAATTTTCATAAGCATCCATGAGAATTCCATTTATCCATTTTCACTTTTCTAATGAAAGTAAAAGCAAGAATGTAATTCAAGTTAGAGGACTGTTCTCTGAAGATACTTAAGAAATACACCAGGTGGCGGGCGCCTGTAGTCCCAGCTACTCAGGAGGCTGAGGCAGGAGAATGGCGTGAACCCAGGAGGCGGAGCTTGCAGTGACTCGAGATCGCGCCAGGCCACCGCACTCCAGCCTAGGCGACTGAGCAAGACTCCGTCTCAAAAAAAAAAAAAAAAAAGAAATACACCAGTTTCCCAAAGTGAGGCAACTGTGACTACTTTGTGAAAAAGAAATTAAGTAATATCTTGTAGAAAAGTCTAAATGATGTAAACCAGTGGTTCTCAAAGTGTGGTCTCTGGGACCAGCAGCAACAGGGAAACTTGTTAGAAATGGAAATTCTTGTTCCAGTCCCATCCCAGATCTACTGAATCAGAAACTCTGGGGGTAGGGCTAGAGATTGGTGTTTTAACAAGCCTCCAAGTGATTTTAATGCTCTTTAAAGTTTGGCATATAAGCAAACCAAGACATTGCTGGACACTTACCAGTGCTCGTATAGATTGTGAATTTAATAGTTGCTACTATTTCATTATTATCCAGAGTGTCACACTGGAAAGCCAAGGGGTAATTTGCCCTGCGTACTTCTAGGATTGCTGAATCATTTACAAGTACAATGGATTGCTATTTAAAAAGAAAAAAATAACAAAGTATCAACATTCTTCATGTACACTTACCAGGAAACAATTTATTTCCCTTAAGGAAAGGAGGGTTACTGTCTCCCTTAGCCTAGTTAAGTAATTAATGATCTACATGGATTTTCAGTCACACAATCCAGACTTCAAATCCCAACCCTACCACTTCATGCCTGTGTGACTGTGGACAAGTTACTCACTGCACCTCAGTTACTTACTTGTAAAAATTGATATAATGATAGTGATTACCTCACAGAATTGTTACATGGATTAAAAAAGGCTCTAGCACTCAGTGTCATGTCTGGCACTTAATAAACCTTTAATTAATGTTAGCCACTGCTACTATTACACAACTCCTATATAAGCCAATGAAAACCTTGCTTCCGAAATGGAATACTTGTATAAAATGGACGTTTTAAAGTTCTGATTATAGCTGGCCCTTGGACGTATGTAAAGTTTAGTCCTCCCGAATAATGAAAATTTTAAAATTCCAAAATAATAAAGTTGTATAATTCTTAACTTCATTTTGGCAAATTGCTTTTAAAAAGAAAGTTTTCTGAAAACCATCAGAACTGAGAAACAAATTTTATCACTCACTAGAAAGCACCAGGTTATATCCATTCATTACTCACTTGGTCTGGCCTTAGAAGTTTCCAAATATATTTGAAACGATTTATAGGAGATGTGTGAATACATGCCAGTCTAACACTTTCAAGACTTTCTGAAATTGGTTTACCCCCTGAAAAAAAATTAAACACATAAATACCATTGGGCATTATTCATTGCTTTATACATGACACTACCTTTTTTTTTTTTTTCCTAAGACAGGATCTGGTTCTGTCGCCCAGGCTGGAGTGCAGTGGCATGATCTTGGCTCACTGCAACCTCTGCCTCCTGGGCCCAAGCCATCTTCCCACCTCAGCCTCTCAAGTGGCTGGAACTACATGCACATGCCACTATGCCTGGCTAATTTAAAACAAAAAAATCTGTAGAGATGGGGTTTCATCATGTTGCCCAACCTGGTCTCAAACTCCTGAGCTCAAGTGATCCTCCTGCCTCGGCCTCCCAAAGTGCTAAGATTACAGGTGTCACAATACTACTTTAAAAAGCCACCTCCAGTTTTAAAAATCAACTATATGCTGGAAGTTATCAAACTTATAATTGGGAGTTTGAGTGTAGAGGAACAGAAGACTGATAGGTGCAAAGATAGTCACCAAAAGAAGCAAGTGAGGAGACACCATGGCTCTCTGCTCCTTATGCAGAATAAGTTGTAATTGACCTAGTGATCTGTTAGACTAAACTATGAGATCTATTAGTGGCTTCCAATGTACTTGTTAGGGACTCCCATTAGAGATATTGAAATTTCATAACAGCATAATGTGATATATGGAACAGCTGTCAAAGTTCCCAATTTAAAGTTTACAAATCTACTGACAAAATGCCATGATCAAAGCATCAAAAGCATTTCGCCACAGGATAGCCTCAACTATAGGTCCTATATACAGTAAGCCTCCAGTGTATTATAGAGAATATATGTTAACTTTTATATGTCTCTGAAAAAAGGTGAAGCAAAATCAGTAAGTTGCTCAGAACTGTAACTGTTTAAAGAAGTGGAATTTAAAATGTTATGATTTCTTTTCAGTATGTCAACTGGTTGCCTCCTTCTACTCAGTGGCAACCTGAGGTAAAAAATATTTCCCCAGAGTAAACTCTTGCCCACAGTCTCCCTCCAATACATAATTCAACTCACAGCCACAATCTGTTGGTCCACGGCATTCTTCTACCCGTACGACACACTTGGATTCACCAGTAGGGCATCCATTTGTTAATATAACTTCTCTAACACCAATACCTTTGGTTTAAGATTAAAAAAGGCAAATGTTAAGAAAAAAACTGATTCCATAGTGTCTTCACTTTTCCACCTAGGTCTTTTCTTGAGACTTTTCTTCTAATTTCAGAAATTAAGCTCCTAAATTCAGAATGATAACACTTAAAATTTTTCTGGCTCTTCATTTTGAATTATTTCCTAAAATAGCATTTTCTGGAGTGAATTATGTGAAACACTAGTTCCTCTGGGTACCATAAGAAAAAGGATTCCATAATCATGCACATTTGAAAATAGTACATTAAATGAAATTAAAGGGATCGCTTTACTACAGAATTTTGAGGGAACTTTTAATATGCTAGTAAATTAACATGCTATTGTGTACATCTGCATGGATCTAAGATGTAAAGTTTTTATATTTTTACATTTTAACATCTGTAAAATCAGAATACATTTACAATTGATAGCATGTCATAAATTAATTGGCAGTATTTTTAGAGTACATAAAATGTACTTCTTACAGTCCATAAAGTCGTGGATTTGATGGAATACAGTGGTATACAATATTTCCCAAATTTATTTGACCCAGGAACTTTTTGGGGAAGCATGAGGGAAGCTCTGGAGGAAAATAAAAAATCACATTTTAGCATAAATGATGCCTTTAAATATTTAGATTCATAAAATGTCTGTATTAAATATAGAGAGGACAATCTATCACAGACCAAATCTCCATTTCCAACAAGATGCTCTCTTTAGATCGTCACACTTTTTGTAACAAGACATTAACTTTCCTAACTGATCTCAGAATTCCAGAGTTTGCCTCACATCACCACAATTGAGAGAAATAACACAATGCACGATTAGCTACATGATGAATCATGTGCCATGTTAAAACAGGTTAAGAAAGAGTCCATTTTTATTTCCTTAACTACTAGATTTCCTCTTCCAGCCCCTCTAAGATGTTATCTTACTGGAGATGTTACTAAAATGCAAATTTTGAGTTAGCTGTTCTTGAATGGGTTTGAGATTCTGCATTTCTAACAAGCTCCCAGGTGATACTGCTGCAGTCTGTGGACCTCACTTTGAATAGTAAGGGAGAAGGCTACATATGAAATAAGAAAATGGAAGGATGGAAGGAAGAAGGTCTTTGGTTAAGAGAAATGATGGCTAAGAATGGCTGAAGTAAGGCTCCACTTGAGTTTATGAAATCCTTTTTTTTTTTTTTTTTTTTTTTTTTGAGATGGAGTCTTGCTGCATCGCAGAGGCTAGAGTGCAGTGGCATGATCTCAGCTCACCGCAGCCTCTGCCTCCCGGGTTCCAGCAATTCTCCTGCCTCAGCCTCCTGAATAACTGGGATTACAGGGGCATGCCACCATGCCCAGCTAACTTTTGTATTTTTAGTAGAGACAGGGTTTCACCATGTTGGTCAAACAGGTCTCGAACTCCTGACCTGGTGATCTGTCAGCCTCAGCCTCCCAAAGTGCTGGGATTACAGGCGTGAGCCACCATGGCCAGCCCGAAAGAGTCTTTAGAAGCACAGCCTTAATTCCGAAGTGCATAAATATTTTTAAAGCAGGTTTTTTGTTGTTGTTGTTTGTTTTGTTTTGTTTTTGAGATGGAGTCTCGCTTTGTCGCCAGGTTGGAGTGCCGTGGTGCAATCTCAGTGCACTGCAACCTCCGCCTCCCAGCTTCAAGCACTTTTCCTGCCTCAGCCTCCCAAGTAGCTGGGACTACAGGTACGCGCCACCGTGCCCAGCTAATTTTTCTGTATTTTTAGTAGAGATGGGGTTTCACCATGTTGGCCAGGATGGCCTCGATCTCTGGATCTCATGATCCACCTGCCTCGGCCTCCCAAAGTGCTGGGATTATAAGAGTGAGTCACCATGCCCGGCATAAAGCAGGTATTTTATGTATTTATTTATTTAGCTAAATACAGTTCACTGAGATGCATGTAGGTGTGGGATTTTCTGTAATACCAAGTAACACCTAAAAATCTGCCTGGATATAAAATAAAACTTTTTGACTGCTAAAATATTGTTTCAGAAGTTAAACAGAATTTTCATCAAGGCATTTTTCTCTTCTAGTTCTAAATTGAAAGGCTTTTAATATTTTAGGCATGAAATAATGCTTTTTCTAGTTTATTTTTTCCTTATAACTTATTACCACCTGACACATTACATCTTTTACATATTACGTAAACTATACATTGCTTGAGGGTAGAGAGTTTTGTCTGCTGTCTGCTCATATCCCTAGCACCTATAACGATGCCTAGCACATAGCAGGCAAATAATTTTGAAAAAATAATAATTTGAGTGAATATAATTTCTAAACTTGTCTTTAAATAATAGAAAACAATGGTAATTACTTGAACAGTACATAAAAATAATTCTCTACCTGTGAAAATTTCTGAAGTTAGCAGCTAAACAAAGATGTAAACCACAAATAAGTAATTGCAGGCTTACTACATGGATTTCTCTCATTTTATGACTAACTTACTAAGAAATTAAGGTTTAAAAAAAAAAAAAAAAAAACCAGCTAAACAATTTTAAGAGATAGAGAGAATAGTGGTTGCCAGGAGCTGGGAGGAGGGGAAAATGGGAAGTTAGTGTTTAATGGGCATTTCAGTTTGACATAATAAAAAAGTTCTCGAGATGGGCAGTTGTGATGGTTGCACAAGAATGTGAATATGCTTAAGTCCACGGACTTGTACATTTAAAAATGGCTAAAATGATAACTTTTATGTTGGGTATATTGTACCACAATGTTAAAAAGCTTCTCCAAATAAAAACAATTCAGGTGTAATTTTTGACACCCCCACTCCTGCGAAATTCATTCTGATCTAGATCTGCATGGATTTTGTCTTCTTATCCTCTGATAATTCTCCCCTTTTCCCTCTCATCACTGTTTTCTTTCCAAGGCAGATTCTATTTAGAAGAAACTTAATTTCATTGTGAATGATCTATGATCTTCTTAGCACCCTGGTCTACAGCATTGTTTCTCAAAGGATAGTCCTCTAACTAGCGGCATCAACTTCATTATAAACTTGTTAGAGAAATTTTATGTCCAATTTCTATCCATGGAATGATCAGACTAAGTCATACTCTTTGAATATTATCCTCCCCACAAAGCCAATACATCTTTTCTCCAAAACATGACAAGCAAATTGGAGAAATGTAGAATTTAGAATGGACTATTACAAATAAGCAAATTCTTGATAAATTTGCCAACACAATATGCGGGAAGACATCTGTGAGATGCATTGGAAAATCTTTCATCTTCTGAACATCTGTGAGATAGAGAAAATTTTACTTTGGTGAAGGCAGTTTATGTGCCAAAAAAAAAAAAAAAATTAGGGAGCTGGCTTAAAATAAGATTTAGAGATTACAAACTGAAAATATCTTACAGTTTAAAGCAGTCACCCTGAGTTTTCTGTATACATTATAGTTATTAGAAATAAAAATCCATGAGAGATGCATGAAAGTACACAAGCTACAAATAAAAAGTTGCACACTATCTGCTTTTACCTTTCCTCCCCCACAAATTACAACATGGTTTATTCATCTGCTCCAAGCTACTTACCACATGTAACGGTGCACATTCCGAATTCTACTTCTTTGACTACATTCGCATTTGAAACTAAACATAAAGGGTAAAGATACATTATTTAATTATATGAAAACTTTTCTAAGTGAAACACCTCTTACTTGGAGATGAAAGACATGCGTATCATATAGGCAGCAGACATTTTTTAAGTTTTCCATTTAAATCAGAAAACAATGCCATTCTGAGTACTGTTACTGTCTAATTCAAAAGAGTCTCAAACCTCTAAAGAAGTCCGTTAAATTAGGAAATAACCTAATAGAAAGGTTTATATTTAAATTTTGTATATACCTTAAAAATGTTTTTCATCAGTTGATATATAGTAAGTTAAAATTTGATAGAGGGTCTCAGAAAAACACACAAAGGCCTGTCAGTTGTAAAAACCAATTTTTCCCATTCTCTATTTTCCAAAATTGAGTGTATAATTTCTATTCAAAGAGAAGTCATTAACCAGTGTTTATTAAAATGAAAAAGTTTTATAGATTAGTTCTACTTATTTCCCAGGTTAAGATGGTAAATTTAAATATTTCTAAGAATTTATTTCAACACTTTACCAGGTTAGTATAGGAGTGTATTACTATTTAAAAAATTAAATGTTGTTGGTTCTAAATCATATGTTTCTCTTTTTCTCATCATTCAGAAGTTTGACATAAAATTCCACTAGCTATAGTATACAAGCCATTCTTCAGCTCAAATTAGGACTAAAATCTCAATAGAAAAAATATCAAATGAGATGTTAGAAGATGACTTTTAAAAGGCATTGTACCCTAGGACAACAAATCACATGGAAAACACATCGAACTGGAGTCCAAAGAGCTGCTTCTATCACTAATTAGCTGTTTGCGTTTGAGCAAATTAATTAAATGCTGTCAGGCTTAGTTAACCCTTCTGCAAAATTTGGAAAGGAAAATCCATCTCATTTGATTGTTGTAAGAATTAAATAAGGATAATGTGTGTGAAAGCATTCTATAAATTGTTTAGTACTACAAACATACTTAAGATATAATTACCCAATTTAAACCCATTTTGTACTTACTAATTTAATATAATGCTGGGGGTTTTTTCCTGTTTTGATAACTGTAAAATCTCAATAGCTTCATAAACACTACTATTCTGTACTTACGAGCACCAAATATAGTTTTTTGCTTTTGTTTTTCTGAGAGAGTCTCACTCTGTTGCCCAGGCTGGAGTGCAGTGGCACGAACTTGGCTCACTGCAACCTCCACCTCCTAGGCACAAGTGATTCTTATGCTTCAGCCTCCTGAGTAGCTGGGACTACAGGCACGTGCCACCACACCGAGCTAATTTTTGTATTTTTAGTAGAGACAGAGTTTCATCATGTTGGCCAGGCTGGTCTCAAACTCCTGACCTCAAGTGATCCACCAGCCTCAGCCTCCCAAAGTGCTGGGATTACAGGCATGAGCCACCGTGCCCGGCCCCAACATAGTATCTTGAATACTCACTAAGCACCCAGTGTACATAAGTAAATCAATATTGACTTTGTTAAGTCATTTCTTTAATAAAAATAAATGATTTAGACTATCATGATGATCATTTTGAATTGTGGAATGCTTAGATACCTTCTACTGGCACATTATGTGATACAAATTAAAAGCCAAATCCTGAACATAGAAAACATGGCTAAGAGAATGAGTGCTGCACTATTTGTAAATATAAGCCTTTTTCAAAAACCATTAGTCAATCACTATGTATTCTACTTTGGGAAAGCTGTTTAATTTCTTCCAACTTGTTTCCTTAAAGAAAAACAAATGAGACTAAATAAGAAAGTCTCCAAAGTCCCTTTCAGCTTTAATATTCTATGATGTATTGAGTGTCCATTAGGTTACTCAGTAACCTTTTTAAAAAATGGGAATCCTACAATGGTGGGTCAGTGGAATTGTAGGTAATTGGACTTCAGTGTAGCATTTGTCAAAATTTCTTGTTATAAACCTATGAGTGGTAAGAAAATAAACGGTCTGAATGTCAGTAGTTTTATGTGAAACTGTTTAAACTCTAAGACCACAGTTGTTAATTAACCAGTTGGTATCAACATGGTAGGAGTGATGTGTCACAGGGCTCTGTCCTGTTCAACATTTTTATTAATGACCTGGAAAAAGATGCTGTTATCATGCTGACTAAATCCAGAATTCTCCAAAGCTAGAAAGGATAGCAAATATATTTGATGATATATCCGTATCTAAAAAATGACAGGGTGAAATAATGGGCAAATCTAACAAAATGAAACCTTGTAGGAATAAAAAGTCCTTCACATACAGCTGAAAAGTCAGCTGTCCAAAACTATTTTATGGGTTGTCTTAATTTGATAGGACAGTTAAAAACGAATGGCGAGTTCAATAGTGAATTCAATAGGAGTCAAAGATGTGCAGAAGCTTCCCTAAAAATCTACTGGGTCTTAGGCTACACTAACAAAAGCCTGGCATTCACAGTGATGAGGATAATGATCTTGCTCTTTTAGTTGTGGCCAGATTCTGAAATGTTCTCTTCAGTTCAGGACAGCACATGGTAACTTTTGGTATCTATCATCAGGGTGCAATTTTAGTTTTTCAGTTTCTGACAGTTGATTTATAAGGTTGATATTTCATGACTTCTATTCTTCCTTAGAAGTATTCCAAAGACAAAAAGAACATATTTGTATAGGATAAAACCCATTGTATAGACTACAACTTTCTATTTTGCAATTATTATGTAGGTCTATTGGATCCTGTTTATAAATCTAACGGTATACCTGCATAAAAGATATGATATATTTAAAAGGTATATTAAAGGGTATACAAGGTAAAACAAAAGTGTAAGGATATAAATCTAATGTCTTTTTTTTTTTTTTTTTTTTTTTTTGAGACGGAGTCTCGCTCTGTTGCCCAGGCTGGAGTGCAGTGGCACGATCTCGGCTCACTGCAAGCTCCACCTCCTGGGTTCATGCCGTTCTCCTGCCTCAGCCTACCGAGTGGCTGGAACTACAGGCACCCACCACTACGCCTGGCTAATTTTTTGTATTTTTAGTAGAGATGGGGTTTCACTGTGTTAGCCAGAATGGTCTCGATCTCCTGACCTTGTGATCCGCCCGCCTCAGCCTCCCGAAGTGCTGGGATTACAGGTGTGAGCTACCGTGCCCGGCCATAAATCTAATATCTTAATGATTTTTCTTTATCTTGAAACATTGTGATATTTCATCACCCATAATGACCATATTACTCTTTATTTTATGTATAGACTGAAGACACGTGAGAATGCAAACGATATTAAAAGAATCGCAGCTGGGTCATTTAGAAGGGAAAGGGATAATCCTTCTTGAGAAGATAGCAAACCTGCTGCTGACCTTCTACCTGCTAGAATGTGAGTTACTAACCAATATGACATGTACAACAGCCTGTAAAGTTTTATTGCTTAATGAGCCAGCAGATAAAAGCAAATGTACCAAGCAGGCGCTCACTGTTCCTTGGTTAACATGCAGCATCTAACAAAGCCACTAGCTGGATCCCTTGACAGGTGTTTTCTACTGCTCCATTCCTTTGTCGGAGGCTGCACATACCAATCAAACACCACAATGCAGAGGTGCTCAAGGCTAGATGCTGCAGGAAGCTGCCATGGGGCTTCTGGGCAGTTTTGTCGGCATACTGGTCTATCTAGATGTGTCATCGTAAAGGGGGATTCTGAATTCCACTGCAACCCCAAGTGCAAATGTGGAAATCAAGCAACTTGGAACTTGAAAAAAAAAGAATCTACTATGAGAAGGGAAAATGAATGCAAGAAGAGTCAAAATGATTCCTCTTGGTAGAAGGCTACCTCCAACCCTTAAAAAAAATCTTTTTCCTTGTCCAAAGCAATATTTAGAAGTTTTCTATAGTAATTTCTATATACGTGCTTATCTGCGTATCTTGCTGTGACCTGGCAGAATAAGCACATTCTTCAAGGCCACAAGATGCAAGAAAGGCACAAACTCGGGGCTGAGGTATGCGAGAGAGCTCTCTAGACGTTAACACGGATAATTCTCATGGTTCGCCTTTGCTCCATCAACAGGGGCCACTGCGTGCCCCCAAAGGAGTTCCCACCCTCACCATCCTCGGTTTCAGTCGGGGCGTAGTTCTCCGCGGTCTCCCTGTCGTTGTTTTCGGTCTCCTCCTCGCCCTCGCCTTCCTGGGCCAGGCCGGCATCCTGGACGGCGGCGGTGACGTTGGTCCCGCGCGCAGACTGGAGGACCGCCAGGAGCAGCCAGCCGACCGTCAGCAGCAGCCCGGCGGAGCAGCCCGTGCCCCTGGGGCTCATGGTTGAGGACAGGTGCGTTGAAGAGAGGTGCGACGCCCCGCCCGCAGTCGCCCGGCTCTGAATCTCCTGTGACGAACCGTGACGCCTCAATGGTTGCCTGGGCGCTGCTCCGGGGCTGAGCGCCTGGAACACGCGCGGAGCCGGGCTGCGTGGCGCGCAAGCCAGGACGCGACGAGGAACCACGTGCGACAAGTCCCTAGAAGAAGACGCCTCCCTTACCCGCAACCGGAAGTTCCCTGCCCAGGCCGCCTCCCTGAGCCTTCCGGGTGCGGTAGGCGTTGCTGTCAGTTGCTCCTTCCGCGGCAGTTGATGGAGCAACCCTTCAGCCTCCTGGCTCACCCTGCCTGCTTTCTTCTAAGCATTTCATTTTCGTACATAACGTTTACCCTTCCCCAAACTAGACTTCTTAGCCCTCACATACTCTTCGTGTGATTTGGTTTCAACATTTCTTATCCAGAATGTCCAATTTGGGATGTATTGAGAAGGACTCGATTTCTTCTTTGGGATCAGAATAATAGACTTTGAGTAAGAAGAAATTTAGAAATCATCTGATACTCCAAGCCCCTCATTTTTAAGTGAAGAGATTAAGAATCAGAGAGATGAAATGACTCGCCCCAAAACATCCAGCAAATTATTTACAAAGCTGGAGCTCCCAGTCACATCTCCCGAACACTTACTCGATGATCAGTGATTCTTACGATTCAAGGTTAACAATGAAGCTTTCAGTGGGCGTGATTGGGAGTTCAAGCGCTGAAAAGTTAGGGTTCACTTTTGATTCTGTTATTACAAATTTTGCCTCATCTAGCAGTCACATTGTGGTTGTTTGTGGTTGTTTTTGAAAAGACACATAGGGCGCCATACTTTGAGGCTGATTGTTTAAATTCCTATGACAAGTGAGATGAAAGTGAACTTGCGTACACTCTGGCTTTTGGAATATTTGAATATCTAGTCTCAGCAGACTAACAGATAAGCAGGTAACAGAAGAGTATTAAGAGGGTCTTCAGAGACACTTATTTGTAACAAAACAGGTTGTTTGAAGCAGAAGTAGAAATTTTTTATTTGAATATTTTCTCCCAAAAAGGCTTCTACTTTTGAAAATACAAGGACTGCTAAACATCTTCAGTATTAAAGTTCGAATTGATGTCGGTGAGAAGTCTCTGGGAACATTCATATCAATTAAAATACCTTAAAATATAGCGCTTGACAAGATTATGAGGGAGTTAACATGGGAAACTTAGAGATGATCTCGAGAAGTAAAGGCCTTTGTTTCATGACTAAATGACTCAAAATTTTTCTTTTTTGAATCCTGAGAGAAATAAAGTAAAAAATTATGCTGTCAAACACAAACTTTAAAATGATGATACATAGTATTGTTGCTGGCAAATTGTTGAGTGTTTCAAAGTCAATTTTAGGATCCATTGCTTCCTGAAGATAGTATCCTTTTTGAGCAGAGGAAGTCCCATAAACTCTATAGTATGTACTTTGACTCAAGGAAACATCAATAATCTAATAAACAGCTGCAAAGGGAATCCAGATGGGTCTCAAAGAGGACCTGAAAGATTTAACTCTGAAATAAGGCCTATTAATATCTCTAATAGCAGCAATATAAATCACCTATAAAATATTGTGTTACTCATGTAAGTTATAAGAAAAAGTGCAATATCTGTCCTCAACAAACTTTTACTGTCTCTCTAGTACTCTCTCTAGCCACAAATAAATGAAAGGTAAGTGTTTAACCAGAAGGGCAGGGCACAGAGTCTAGAGGGACTGACCCTACTGTGACCTGCAGATACCAAGGAGCAGGAATTCCACCCTCAATCCCTGATATGCTCCTCTGACCCACCTCATCCTGCCTGGAACTAAGCATCTCCACCCCCAGCTCCAATTTCGGATGTGGGGATTAAAGCCCAAATGCCTCTGCCCCACTCTGCCCAGACATAGCTCACCTATCTTGGTCTGACCTTACCTTGCTTGGCCTCATTTGGCATGCGGGAAAATCATTCCTCTATCCAGTCTCTGCACTACCTACCCTTGAAGACCAATTTGTATTCTGAAAAGGAAGACCAATTTGTGTATGTGTGATATAAGCACAAGATAATCAAGGTCTAAATAAAGGATTACCATAAAAATGGAAAGAGAAATGAATGTGAGAGAAATAACAAAGAAAGGATTAACAAAATGGAATGACTGGCTGCCTAAGCAGGATAAGGGAGTGAGGGAGGGAGCAAATAAAGGGAATTAGGAAAGTCAGTAGACATTTTGTTTAAGCAGGTTAAGTTGGAGGTATCAACAGAAGTCAAGTGAAAACATTCAGTGGGCAGCTTGAGATAACCATGTACAAAAAAAAGAAAGATGAAAACCACTCATACATGCCACAAGCATGAAAAATACACACACACACACACACACACACAGTCAGTTAATATAATGTTCTAAGTACTGCTATAATATTAGAAACTTTACAGTGATATTTGTGAAAATAATTGGGAGATAAAATTGATTTTGGCTTTAATATGCTTGATTTGGTAAAAAGCATTCTCCATAGTAATCCCCCAGAGAGAAGGTTCTCAAACCTCTTTTTTTTTTTTTTTTTTTTTTTTTTAGACAGAGTCTCGTTCTGTCACCCAGGCTAGAGTGCAGTGGCGCCATCTCGGCTCACTGCAAGCTCTGCCTGCCGGGTTCACGCCATTCTTCTGTCTCAGCCTCCCGAGTAGCTAGGACTACAGGCGCCTGCCACCACGCCCGGCTAATTTTTTGTATTTTTAGTAGGGACAGGGTGTCACATGTTAGCCAGGATGGTCTCGATCTCCTGACCTCGTAATCTGCCCGCCTCAGCCTCCCAGAGTGCTGGGATTACAGGCGTGAGCCACTATGCCCTCTTGTGATATTTCTAACCTTTAGGGGAAAGGAGGTTTCTCTCTTTGGAGCAAGATCCCAGAGGCAGGATTTCTCCCCTGGCTGTTTTGTTTCACACCCTTACCTCTGTTGTGTCCTCATTCCGTGTCCATCACTTAAAACTGTACTGCTACACAATGAGGGAATTTTGTGGTAGAAACTGTAGGAAACCTACTGCAGGAAAAAGATAGGCATAAAAAATTAAGAAGCTGTAGGAACCCCCCTGGACTTTTGAATACAGGAATAGCAGTTTCAAATGGTCAGACTATATCTTCTCAATAAAATGTAACTGCCTACAACGTCCTTACCTCACTGAAGGTCTTCTTAAGCCAATAAGAATTTCCATGAGTTAAAGGAAGAGTGGTACTCATAAGATGTTCTTTCTATTTTAATAAGAAGAATTTTAAAAGCCATTGAAAATTAAATAATATTCTAGAGCAATGTGGTCGGCATTTGTGACAGGAATAAGTATCACATTGTGAATAAGTCTTGATAGAAAGCATATGGTACTTTCATATTCCTCTATTTGCAGGGCTGTGTAAACCACATTTTCTAAGATTGAATAAGGTCCCCTACCTGTAGTTATTCAGATTATAGATGCATAGCCTCACTTAGCTACATGTGCACAGATTAATACATGAAACAGAATTTTAGAATTTACCTGTGTCATTGAGTTTCCCCCACAGTTTTTGTGATCGTATCTTTTTTTTTTCTTTTTTTTACTTTTGAGTCCATGGTAAGAACAAGTTCTCTTATTTCCCTTGGTTACTGAGGAACAAGGTCTATCCCAGTGTCCCATTTCACTACTTCTCTACCGACGCCCACTCCAAACTCAACTGCTTTCCCATTTTGTAATTTTGTCTCTCTAATACTCCTAAAATAGATGTGACCCTTACCCTGCTTTCTAAACATGGATTCCCTGGTGACAAGCCTAAATTGTCCTAATTTCTGAACTCAAGGATTCCCCCAGAGTCTCAAGTGTACAGCTTCTCCATTTAACTCTACTCTGTACCGCCACCAGAGCACAAACCATACAGGGTGTTACAACTCCCATGGTTTCAGGATATTTATTAACAAGCTATATAAAAGTCTACTACCTTTTCACATATATGGCTCAATTATACCAGAGCTTTACACTTTTCACACATGTAGATTAAGGAGAGTCATATAACTGGATATCTTTAGAGTCTTTAGGAATACTTGTATGGGACCACTAAACATCAGATGCACCTAAATTATCTTAAGATTTTAATTTTACTTTCAACCGTGTAATAACACAGGACAGGCATTCTGGTGAAGAGTGCTTTGGAAGCAAGTGAAAACATAAGTTGTGCTTCCCAAAACTCGTAAGTACTCACCTTAAAAATTCTCTAGTTACTTTGAGGTGTGAGTAACGATTTTGTTCCAAAATAAGATTTTTTAAAATAGCGTTATTGAGACATAGGCCATACAATAAGTGGCACACATCAAAAGTAGAGAAATGCAAATTAAAAACACAGTGAGATACCACTTTACCTCAGCCAGAATGACCATTATTTAAAAATCAAAAAACAATAGATATTGGCATGATGCAATATGAAGGGAACACTTACACATTGTTGGTGGGGATGTAAATTAGTACAACCTTTATGGAAAATGGTAGGGAAATTTTTCAATAGTAGATCTATCATTTCCTTCAGCAACCCCGGTACTGGGTATCTACCCAAAGGAAATGAAGTCATTACATAAAGAAGACACAGGCACATGCATGTTTATTGCAGCACAATTCACAATTCAAAAGATATAGAATTAACCTAAGTGTCCATCAACCAATGAGTGGACAAAGAAAAGGTGATAAATATATTTACACATACCATGAAATATACCATCAAATAGCCAAAACAAAGAACAAAATAATGTCTTTTGCAGCAACTTGGATGGAACTGGAGGCCATAATTCTAAATGAAGTGACTCAGGAATGGAAAACCAAATACTGCATGTTCTCACTTATAAGTATGAGCTAAGTTATGGGTAGACAAATGCATATGGAGTGGTATGATAGACATTGAAGACTCAGAAAGGGTGAGGGGATTTTAAAAATTACCTATTGGGTACACTGTACACTATTTGGGTTATGGGTACACTTAAAGCCCAGACTTCACCACTAAACAATTCATCCGTGTAGACAAAAAACACTTGTG